CCTGCCCCTCTAARGCCAAGAGTACCATGACTGACAGTAGTTTCAGAGTATATTAGTGGTTCCAGTGTTGATGACCTGTCATGTAGATGACAGGTTATGGAATAGTTTTTGTTCTGCATGCAGTACTTCAGATATCACATTTGAATGTAACCTACCATCGTCACTCCAGTGCAATGCAATCTRCAGGTATTTTCTCAAATCTCTTCAAAATCCTCTAAGTGAAATAAATAACTGAGTGTCTTCAGTAAGTATCTAAAAATTTCTTTTTGTTTTCTTTTTGGACAATTTAAAACAGGAACTTTTAACATATAGTGACTGTGAGAATTGGTAATTGCTTTGAGGATGGCAATAAAAAGATCAATAATGCCATACAGAGTAAGACACTTACACTTGAGTCTAAATTAATGTTAATCCTAGAGAGAGCCTTCAGAAGCCCTTTGGGCTTCATAAATCTATCTTTAATTCTTTTGCCTTTCTCAAAATTGAACAAATATTCCCAATAAAATACTGGATTGGTAAAGTCAATTTGCCCTCTGAGATTTTGTCACCATGAGAGGGCCATAGTTTTGGATGTTTGGTATTATTTTGTTTGCTTTGAATTAAAAGAATATAAAAGCCAGAAAGAACTTAAACAATTTGATCAAACACTATTCTAGTAGTTTAAGTTCCTCTGAATATGTCAGTGTCTATTCCAATCTGGTGAGCAACAATGTTAGGGGGAATATATTCTTATTACAAAGAATACTGTCTGCAGATTTGAGAAACAAATAGTTGTGCAACATTCATCTTGGCTGTATAAGATGAATAGCAAAGCAATTTCATTCAGTTTTCTTGAAAGTTTAATTTATACACTGAGAAAGAATTTCTGAAAGACAGAATTACTTCATAAAATCACTCTTTTCTCAGTTCTGTACAAATATGCTTAGCTATTCCACAGAGGGCATATTCTGTTCAGAAAAAAAAGCATAACACAGTTCAAGATAACAGAAGAGGACTAAGCTTTAGGAAATACATTCTTGGCCAAATTCATCCTTGGAGTGAGCTGGCACAACTCAAATATCACAAATAAAAACCTTTTCTATTTTATTTGACGTACTCATTCATTCTTAATGGGAAGGATTGAGAAAATTTGGCAATAGACCTGCGTATACTTACTTCAGTGGTGAATTATTCTGGTAATTCACTTTTCAACTCTGTTTCATGAAAGCCTATAAAAAAAAATAGTGACAATCCCTTCCTTCTTATTAAGTAGCTGTTCCCTGCAGTGTCCCTGCTCACCCAAACCGGGGGTGATGACACCCCCATAGGTGTCATCCTGTAGGCCCAGGCTCCTTCCAGAGGAAGGTGCTGTATCCAGCTGCTGCCCTAGCTTAGAGCAGGACAGGGCCAAGGTGTTTACTTTAAACCAGGATCTGGGAAATGCTCCCATCTCCCACAGTTCAGATGCCGTCAATGAGTAATTTYTCTCCCACACAAACAGTTCTACTGACTGCGGGGAGGTTGTTTAAATTGTTAGGCATTAGATGTAGCATGAGGCAGTAGACCATAGCTTGGTATTTAAATATTCAAGGCTGGAGTCAATCAGCTTACTAAAGCATCTCCCAAACTATGGCACAACATCTACCGTTCAGGTAGGAGCACATGTGAAGTAGTTCATTCTTCTACCATTTCAGTTCSGAGCAAGGATTAGGAATGTGCGGGATTCTTCAAGCAGTGTAAAATAGACTACTTCTTCAGGAAGTTTCAATGAGGTTTAGCAAATCCATGACAACAAAATGAGCCTTAATCATTATTTTCTGTCTTCACTCAATATATCTTGAAGTGACATACAAATATATATATATTATTTATATATAATATCTGTTGGGTCACATGCCTTGGGCATGTGATTGTAAGATCTTCTACATATCAGGTAAAGTACTGTCTGCTGAAATAAAGCAACAAGTTCTGTTCCATTACTGCACAACTCCACTAGTAATGATTTGCAGGTATTCTGCATGTGGTAGGAGACTCTTCATGAAGAAAACGGTCCMTATTGGTATGGAGACCAGGAAACAATGCTGAGCCATTCAGAGTAAGAGTCATACTGGGGTGTAAGCAAATAAAAATGAGCACAGAATACTCACCTAGGCAGACAGAGTTTTCCACCATTCAGCTGTGGAGAAGGTGCTTTAAAGGTGCTTTGAAGATGATTCACCTTCACATCAAAGGCTATATATATGTATAGAGAGAGAGATAAAAAAAGATTGAGAAGTGAAAGCAAATGTCTGTAGTTCTTTCTTGTTTCGGGGTACATGTGTATTTAGATGTCTTTCTATCATGCATGCTGCCCTCTGTAGGTKTACAGATGACTCATGGTTTTGAACAATGTAGTAAATAGAGCCTCCACTTGCCCCCAGAGCACTCTGATGGCACTTCGGCAACTGCACTGTGGTCTAAGGTTCTGACGCAGTAAGCCTGTGCTCCATCCTTCTCTTATACAAGAACATGCCCTGAGCAGCTGCACAGGATCAGAGCAAAGGCTTATATATAAATATATATCAGAAAATATACTTTCTGATAGTGGCCGGTAGCAGATGTTTTGGGGAAGATCAAGAGCAMCACAGCATGTATATTTAATATTTCTCCTGAATACTCCTCTAGCCTCTAACAATCAGCATCTCACAATGATGATATAGTTCCTATTTAGAAAATGGTGCAAAAGTCCCTCACTTCAGATGCGAACTGAATCATGTCACCTGTCTTGGGATGTGTACTAATGTTCCTTAGTCTTTGGAGCATTGCTGTTCAGTAGCTATTTTTATTTCTAAATCCTTCAACTACTTAATCTTCTTGAAATTTAAAAGCAAACAAACAAGCAAAAAAAAAAAACCTGTTTATGCAGCTTGAGTGCTTGTTATCTGAGGGGAATAAGTAACAACTACTATTCTTACCACCTGAAGTGTGGTAAGAATAGCTCCAGTCCCTTAATCACTGGACCGTCTTGAGAAGTTTCACATCCCTCGTGCACTGAGGAGGCCAGAACTGCACCCAATACTCCAGGTGCAGCCTCACCAGAGGTGAGGAGAGGGGCAGGATCCCCTCCCTTCACCTGCTGGCAATTCCTCTCCAGGTGTAGGGCTTTGCACTTGTCCTTGTTGAATCTCATGAAGTTCCTCTCTGCCCAACTCTCCAGCCTGTCCAGGTCCCTCTGGATGGCAGCACAGCCCTCCGGAGTGTCGGCCACTCCACCCAGCTTGGTGTCATCTGCAAACTTGCTCAGGGTGCACTCCGTGCCCTTGTCCAGGTCATTGATGAACAAGTTGAACAGCCCCGGGCCCAGTACTGACCCCTGGGGGACACCACTGGCCACAGGCCTCCAACTAGACTTGGCCYCATTTATCACCACTCTCTGAGCTCTGCTATCCAGCTAGTTCTCAATCCACGTCACTGTCCACTCATCTAACCTCCACTTCCTGAGGTGCCCCATGAGGATGTTATTACATGGACTGTCACAACATGGACTATCTCCTGATGCGTCCTTACCAAACCAACAGTAACCTGCAGACATTCCATTGACTAAGAATAGTTTGGTGCATGGTGCCAGAAGTGTTACATCTCATCTTTTGTTCTGGGAAGACTAGAAATACTAAGCTACTGATCCCTGCACACAGGGTGTCAAAAGTGTGCCATATCGTAATCAACCCCAGGAAAAAACTTCAGGACAGGGAACAATCCTCTGTAGGAACAATCTTTGGACTGCTTATCTCAGTGATTAACCCTACACTGCTTGTCATTTCATGGTCAGTTTGCCCAGTCACAGGAGGAATATATGCCCATATCAACGGTTACAAGAAATATCCTTGGGCATTCACCTGACTCAGAGCAACTGTTGTGTTTGCTAGTCCGGAGTGTTAAGCCTCTAAGTGTGATGATCTGTATCTAGCACTACATGTATTATGCATCACTGTTRTCATAGGAAGAAGAGGCTGCCAATGATGGGCTATACATGGCACACYTGCAGAGAAATCTGCTCCCTCAAAGAGACACCAAGCGCTTCTAGCTGCTTTGGAGCTGTGCAGTGTTGAGCCAGTCACTGAGCACCTCCACTGCAACAAGTGTGCATTTCACTGTCACTGCCTCCCTGATGGATTTAGCAAGGCTACATGCTTTTCACAGGGAAAAGAGAAGGTCTTTTTGATTCACGTTTTTTTATAAGTGGGAATAACTTAGACACAAGAAAAGAAATACTCAATATACTTTATGGTTATGCCTCCCAACACTCTCTGCAACTCTTCATTCTTTCTGGTCCCCAAAGGTCTCAATTCATTGCATTCAAATGCCACGATACAGCTTTAGAAATAGAGAAACGGAGAGCAAGGCTGCTCAAGCCACATGGGATGTCTACATGAAACCTGAGAGCCAAATCCTGACCTTTTCTCAAATTAGCACTGTAACTAATAAATTGGCATGTACCTTACTCCTTTTAACCAGCTTCCAGTCATGTGCTGGTCTCATGCCTCTCTCTTGGCCGATTGAAAATTTTAAAAATTACAACATCAAAGTGAAACTTGCAAACAGCAATACGCTTATTAGTTTTTTTTTCTTTGCAACATTTAGGAATGGAGAAGACACACAAGAAGCTCAAGCACCATTCCAGGCCTAGACCTGACCTATAACCTTCTGGGAAACAGCAAGAATGGGTCATGTACACACATGTACTCATATGCATGCACATATGTTTTCCAATTAATTGTTCTAACTCTAGTGGTGAGATTTTTTTATATTCCTAGAATGAAAGCAAGTATAAAAATGACATTTAGCAATCAAGTGTTGAACGCATTTTTTATTTTAAACATTAAGATTAAATTACAAAAGCTTCTGGAACAAGGAAAGGATGCCAAGGAGAAAAGAGCTGAAGGCTGAGATTGCTTTTTCTCATTCATCGTGAAAGCAAAACACACTGGCAACAGCAGGGCGTCTTATAGAAAAGTTTCAGATGGACAGTACAAAGATCTTTCTGTCAATATTGTCATTGAAACACCTTGCTGTCATAAAGCATATCTCTTTCCTGATAACCTTTCTTTGTGCTGGCTGATTGGTTTTCACTCTGGGAAACAAGTAATAATTATTTCAGAATTATTGTAATTCTTTACTATTGAGCTCTACTAATATAACATCCCATTTCTTGGGAAAATGTCCAAAAATGAGTTACTTTATCCTAATAAAAATGTCTACTGCTTTTGTTAAAAGTTTTATTTGCACAAATATGCTCCTAATCTATGTTAAAGATAATTTCATGCAATATATCTCTAATTTTTTGGAATAAATACTGAGAATCATCAGAGAAAATTCCTTTGGAATGCAAAAAAGAAAAAAAACCCAATACAAACATGTATTATTTTTTCTTAAGGGCAAGATTCCACTACCTTTATTTACACAAGCAGTATCTTGCTCCCTCTGTTACTTCACTGCAAGCTAGAAGCTCCAGCAGTGAAAATCAGCATAGCCCCGTTAGGATTTAGTGCATTAACTTCTGCTAATGAAAATTGGGCTTTGCATTTTTATTTGTGGAGTAATRTGCTATCTATAATCAGTAAAGGTGCTCAAACAGAGCCCTACATTTGATAATTTGGCACTTTTACAACTGATGTTGCTCATAGTAACCTATCAGATGACAATAGTGGAGCTCTTCTGTAAAATATAGCTTAAGCTTACATTTATATGACTGTACATCTGAAGTATAAAAACCACGATATGTAGTACACTTGAACAGTTAAAAAATATAACTTATTTTATTTGTAAACTATCAATGCAAGATACTCAGCAGCAAAGAAGCCACGTTCAATGTCTTCCGACCTTTTATAAAGATCTGTTGCTGTAAGTAAGTAATATAACCATCTTCGAAACATTTGAGGTTACATGTAGAAACAATCAAGGCAATATTATTTGTACATATTAAACATGCAAAACTTCCTGAAGAATATTGCCCAAATGTAGAAAGTCGTCTGGATCTCAAATTTTCCTTGGTAGCATCTGCTTTGTAAGTATGGCTCACATGTAGATTTAGAGTCCTTCAGTTTATTTTGGAGAATTGGCACCTTTAATGACAGGCTCCCTATTTAAGTATGTGGCCCAGTAGACTAAGTTAAAAGTTCCAAACAGCACTGGAAAAATTATCCGGGACATTTTGTCAATCTTACTGATGCTGTTGTAAGTCTTTTTGCTTTCAGCAGGCTTTTCTTCTGCAGATTTCACTGGAGCAGTGACAGTGTTTGAGATGACAGATGGAGCTGAGTCCTTTGGCATGTTTGGTGTGGGGGTCATCTTTCCAGTGGTGTAAGTGTTAGCTGATTTATTTCCCAGTAATGCACGCTCTTTCTTCTGCAGTGTAAATAACAAAACGTTAGGCAGCAGGTACAGAAAGCGGAAATACATTCTCAGAATAATAAACCGAAATCTACGCACACTAATCAATCATGCTAAAAAATGTCTGATAGCTGTTCTGACTTCGACTCCCTAACAGTTGCTTTTGCCTTGATATTATAGCCCTTATTGAGGTTAAACGTTCCTTGACGTCAGCAAAAACTAAAAAAGCACTGCCAGGGCGGGATCTCACTTGGCATGTGAATTAACAGGTTCTTTTGTCAGGGCGACGGTTCACCTGCCTGGGCTGCAGCCCCGGAGGCAGCTGCCAAGGCACTAACATCAACCTCCTAACAAAAAGCCTCTCCTCTTTGTATTGTTATTTCACAATTCCTTTTAGCCTACATGCATGAACTTTGTTTAAGACATCATCTGATGTCAGTCAGATTCGAAAAGTTAAATTTCAGCTTGAAATGCAGTTTGAAATTCATGTCTTCATAGCAGCATCTTTTTCTTTTTTTTTTTTTTTTTTCTATTTTACTGAGGGGAAACTGTGCCAGGACCCTGACTCCTCCGAGCGCTTAGTGTGAGCTTTGTCATGCATTTTTGGAGAGCACAAGCAAAGTGAGATATCCTTCACAGTGTATGTTGGCTGTCTGTCAGAATCTTGGCTGTTAAAATCCCAAGTCACGTGTATTTCATGCACTGTAACTTTTCCCAAATCCCCCCATACAGATGGTAGAAGAAGGAATATTTCCTTGCAATTTTTTCTCTATARGAAGGTGAGAGTATGGCACAATGTAATTAAATATCTTTTAATAGAGAAGCTGAAAAATGTCTATTCAATTATTTGAAACATGCTTGGTAATTGCTTTTCATTCTGGATACTTTAAAAACGTAACRTAAGCACCTTGATTTTAGCTGCTTCAAGAGCTTTCTTGCCATCCCATGCCCAACTTCTCTTGGTGAAGTAGTTGACCGTTGCAAACTCAATCAATGCAGAGAATACAAACGCGTAGCAGACAGCTATAAACCAGTCCATTGCAGTAGCATAGGCCACTTTTGGCAAAGAGTTGCGGGCACTGATACTTAAGGTGGTCATGGTGAGGACTGTTGTTACTCCTGTAAAGAGAAAAAAAAGATAAAAGATTAGCTTGGTAGTCTTTATGAGATTCCTAAAGTTTTAAAATCAGTATTCAGTGTGATACCTAAGAAAGCCACACAAAGTCAGTGTGTCCAAATCATGGTCTGAAAGAGTAAGTCACTTTGCTGACTATGAGAAAATGAAAGCTTCTCCCCTCAGATATTTATTTCTGAGGCATTCTAGTTACYCCTAGCCTTAGTGTATTTGACTATATAATTTTAAACATAATGTAAACCCAGCTCTTTGTTAGATAAACCAAAATCATATTAATATTTTATCTTTGTGCTTTGATATTTCATATATAGAGAGTATYGGTTATAAAGCAGAGCATTAAAAACTTAGTGATCAGCCTACTTAGCAGTAACTTTTATAAAGAGGTGGGATTATAGTTTTTTTTCCCACTTGTTTTTSATTTCCTTTACAGTAGCTCCTTCTTTCACATTAGCAATATATGACAGAGATGCCACTAATTTCATCTGTGAAAGGATGCCCCCTGTAGGACAAAACTCAACTCTCAGTAACAACTTTGTAAACCTAGAATCAGTATTAGCCAGCAAAGCTCCCAATGCAGGTCACTGAATTTATTTTTAATCAAAGCTCCCAACTGATTTCAGGAGGAATCTGTAGGTGAATGACACTTAAAAGATTCAAATGAAGTTTTATACACAAAACTATTCTCACTTCCCTGATTTCTCATCTAGGGGATCCTATGTATTTCRTCAACATTCAGTTAAGATTCCGCTTAATTTTTGCAGTCTTCCAGCATTGTATCAAGTAATCCAGAGATCCCAAATGATTTTTGCATGGCAGCTTCTGTAGTAAATATGTATTTTGTAAATGCAAATTCATATTAATTTGTTTGATGGTAATGGAGATAATTGCCGCTAATTAACCTCTGTGTGGTTTCCCCAGATAAACATCTTGAAACACAGATAAACAAAATGTTTTGAAGTGAAATCTGTTTTAAATGCTTACATGAGAGTATGCATGAACTCTGATAACACATATGTTCATTTGGTCTAAACGGTTCACTATTTTATCTGAGTGGAAAAAAATCACATTGATTTGACACTTCTCTCTTCCCTCCCCTAACCTTCATATAATTGGTTTGCATTTTGGAAAAAAAAAAAAAAAAAAGGAAAAAATGGAAATTTATGTCATAATTTTACCAAAAAGACACGAGAGTATTTTTAAAATATTTTGGTTTTGAATAAGGAACATCTAGAGCACCTCAAACAGAAATAAGTATTAGTGCACTGTGGTTTCGTTACAAAAACTGACTTCAACAAATAAGACCATTCTTTCCTGTATACTGCAAGGAAATTGAGATACTCACCAAAGACAGTTCTGGCAGGGACAGACTCTCTGTTTAGCCAAAATGACACTTGTGATAAGATCACAGTCATAATGCAAGGAAGGTATGTCTGGATGACAAAATAACCGATTTTTCTTTTCAGATGAAAATGTGCTGTCATAATAGTATATTCACCTAGAAGGAGGAAAATGTACATGTAGAAAAAAGCAATGGAAGTGTACAGATTTGAGGAATCGAGCAGCTCCAGCTCATCCTCAGTTTTCTGAGGATTGCATTCAGCTATTCCTGATTGTGTGAGGTATATCTGAGTTTCTGCATCGTGGAAAACCAGGGCTTGAGATACAGGTGCTGCCAGATCCCACTAGTCTTCTCATTCAATCCTCAAGATGCTTAAAAGCTGAAGAAAATGAATACCCTATTGCACTAAAAAGTGCAATCCTTTTATGTACCTGGAATGCCTTGATGTTCACAACCTTAAAAAATCRGGAGTGGTGACAGTTCCTCAGTCTTGGTAGTTTTTGACTCAGTCCTACAAAGGATCTAATCAGAATAACGATTAAGGCCATCTACTCTTAGAATGGAGATTTAAGTAGCAGGACTTAACCTGATTAGGGCAACTGTTAAGGCCAACTTGTGAGTTTTGAAGAATGACAAGAGGCCCAGACACTCTCTCCGCTCCAAATTTATGATGACTCCTTGTTCCAGTGTTGATGCTGTAAAAACAGACTTCATACACTGATTGTGGGAGATGTTATTAATCTGAGTATCCAAAACCATCAAGCTGCTCCTTCAGAGAAAAAAAAACGCCTTTTTATGTATCCAGTTTTCTTAGAATTTGGTATGTCCTAGCTCTGGAAAGATAATCTATTTCTGGACAGACACCGTGCCAAGCCTTGTTTGCCTGTGCAATTACAGCTTAATATTGTATTGCCTGTGTGGAGAACTCACTGAAAGCTCCGACAGTAGTGCTACATTTCTGATCGTTTTCGTTTGTCAAAGTCACAGCATTGCCTTAATCTGTTTTTTGCAAGGCATTCCAAATTTAAAACCAAAAAGAAAAAAAAATACAAAAAACAAAAAACTAAAAGAGACAGACCAGCTGTCATCTAAAAAAAAAAAAAAAAAAGAAAGCTTAACTAGTTATTTCAGAGTGTTGTTGTAAAGCCATAGCATTGTTAACTGAGACCTGTTGATTGAAGGTTGATTGCCCTTTAAAGTACAATTCAACAGAGATCTGTTGATTGCCCTGTAAAGTACAAATCTTGCTCTCTAAAAAGAGGCTTTTCTTAGCTTAGGAAGAAAAAAAATTATAATAAGATTTATGAATAAATAACAAACAACCTCCCTCCAGCCTCACAGATCTCCAGTCATCTTGGTTTCAAATTAATTTGAAAGCATGCATTATTCAGCTGGATACTGATGAATCACAGTAATGTTTGTTGTGAAATATATGTTGTCCTCTAAGAATAAACAAATATAATTATCCTTTTGACTTACAAATTATGCAGATGTAGGAGATTTTGGGACAGGTAGCTCATATTTTCTAAAGAATGAGATGAATATATACTTCAGCTACTTGAGCTAAAAGATTAGCTGCAGTATCTGTTGCAAGAATGCCCTGTTATCCTCTGTATAACAGCCACTAAAGGAAGATACATAACAGACAGATTCTGCACTGAGTGAACAGCCTGAGTTGAGCTGCAGCCAGAACTGCTAAGCAGTTAGATTTGGCAGATTATTTCTAAGTGACAATATGGCTAATTAGCTAAGGACAGGTCTAGAGTAAAAAGGCTTTTGCATGTATAGCTATGCTCCTATGTTTTACTAGAGGAGCTCTCTTATTCTGAATGAAGTTAAGGGACTTAAACCACCTGGAGATTTTAGACACAAAGACTTGAATAGCACAGAATATCCTTACCTGACAGTCTGCCTCAGTCTTAATGACTTTCTTCTGGAGTCTGATTTTCTTGTGAAATGGCTCCCTGAAGACTGATAGGGAGATGGACGGGATATGATGTAAAACTCGGAAGAAAAGTCCTAATTCCCTGCAATCTAGTGTAATTTTGAACCAAGGATGCCGAACATGCTGTGGTCTCAGGAGGAACCACACTTGCTTTTTATTTATGAGCATTCAGCTTGTGGATTAACAATAAAATATGCCAGCAACAGCAGGGTCTATGTGCCTGTAATCTGTTTCTGAGTGGCTACTGCACTGGGATGTGCTTCGAGTCATGGTTCCCCTGGTCACTTAGAAGTGATGATATGCATTATTGATTTTGACAGTACGCTTTGGGAACTGGAATAAAAAACCCTCAAATGAACTATGCAGCTTCAGCTGAGCAACAGAATCACTGTTTCCATAAAGACAGAAAATGTAGGAATGTATTAACCTATTAATGTATGAATGACTATATTTTGATGGCCTTCCATGGTTAGTTCATGCTTTATCATTTCCTTTAATCTATCAGGACCTCTGTTGCCATAGAAAAAAAATCACCTTGCTTTTGTATTTGCTCTTCTTCCAACACACATCTTCTTCTTTTAAACATGATTCTYTTTTTWAAAAAAAATCCTGCAACAGGAATTTTTCTGTCTGCAGACCTACTGCTTGCAAAATCCCCACAGATATGGCTTGATTTTTAATGCCCTGAGACCGCTGCTAAAATAAGGCTAAAAGTTGCATGGGTTTGCTTTTAATTCATGATGAACGAACCCCTAGATCTAGTGGAGTGGCAAAGCTCCCTTTTACTTCTGTAAGGCCACAACTTATTCTTAGAGGATAAGCTTTCTTGAGCAGGAGCTAATTTTTATTTTAAGTTCATGCAGCCCTTAAAAGCCTGTTCCTGATGGGGTCCACTCGTCACTAAAAACAATTCCAATAATAAATTTGACAGAAATTAAAACCTACAGAATGGGAGCAGCTGCATTTTTTCTCCATTCAGTTGCTAGAATTTGGGGGTCTTAAAAGTTACGTTAATACAGGAAGAGCTCTGCTGCTGCTGGTACTAGTGTGTTTATGCTTTAAAAGCTGCAACAATATTTTTAGGCATCTAGATGAGGGAGTTCTGGCGATCACACTTAAAAATTTTCAGGATCATTACATGCATTTTTCCACTGTCATTATGCTGAGCTCCAATGGAGTATTTTAATGAGGTGTGTTTTCTCTATGTATCTGTGCTTAGGGGCATCGACGACTGACATGTCATGGCAGAAGCCTGACGCTAGGTCTATAGCACTGCAGTCTCTGCATGTGTTGTGCAATAAAGATACATCTCAAAGAAAAGTCAGCATTATTTGTTGCAAAATGAAGGGACAAATATTTCTTTAGTTATTCAGGCTTTGGATATTGCAGAGTTTAGGTTCCAACTGGCAGAAGGTAAGAGGGTGGATTTTTGTTGCTTCCTGGCATTGCAGATGCTGATTTGGCAATCAGAGATTCTGAGGTGCTCTTTGAGGGAGTAACCAAAGGGACTAATCATCTGCAGAAAGCAGCAAGATCCAGCAGGACCCAGATCCCATCTCTGAGTATTTTCAGCACTCTAGCACCAAGACTTGGCAGATGTTGGGACTGTCTGAAGCAGTGTGAGTAGGCAAATATCTTCTCTTTTGGGGGAGTGACATTTAGGGACCTTAGCTCACTCACACATACACACACACACATGAAGTCTGCATACACACAGATCAGAGCTGCTTTCCATGGCATGGCCAGCACATTCCTAATTTCAGGACTGGTTGGTGCAGGGGGAATCCCAGCATATATTTTCTGAGAAGACAGCTAAGCCTAGAGAGTTGGGTACAAAATCAGCAAAATCCAAAGGGATTGGTGCAGGTCCAGCAACTAGCATTTTAAAAAAAAATCTGTTAGAAAGAAGAGCACAAATGCCCCATGACATACGTAGACATTTTGCCTATGCAACTGCAGGATGTGTATTTTGACTTGAGTGTCACAAAACCCACAAAAGATCTAAACTGTTGGATTTGTACAGTAGCTATTTGTTTTTTCATTTTCACATTGAACAATTCAGTAGAAGGAAGAAACATCTCAGACAACCGTTCACAAGTAACCCTGATTACCAGCCTACTGTGAGCTTGATGAAGTCCAGAAAATCCATCGCTGACTGATGCTTTCCCTGGGCAAAATCGGATTTTTGTATTTTGCTAATCCCCGGTTACAATCTGTGTTCTGCTCTTTGTGATCCACCCTGCAATCAGAATCCAGCCAGCCCAGATGTAACCTGGGACATTATTATAAAATCTTGACGTTGGAAAACAAACATTTATTAGCCTAAGTCTTAGAACACAGGAGTGAGGTTATTACTGAGCGCAAACTTTGGGATTTCTCCGAAGAGTCTGCTGTTTCCCTGGGCTGAGAAGTACAGGAAGCCTTCATGGGCAGAGCGGCAAACTGGAAGTGAGCTGGAGCTGACAYACTGGAGCATTCACTGCCACGATTGGGCTGGTTTCTTGCTCTGAGGAGCAGGACGAGTTTGTAAGAGATGCCTCAGTACATCCTCTGGCTCTTTTTCTTGGTGATGATGAAGGCGAGAGGGGAGCTGCCATTTATTGCAGAAAACAACGCGGCTATGATGGTAAACTGGTAAGGATAAAAGTGTCTTTGCTCTTTAACGGGACACAGACTGCTTGTGCTTTTCCTATTTGGGGGACTGCTCTGACTTCCTCTGTGTGCTTCTCTTGACTTTAGATACCTTTGCTTTAGCAACTGTTTTATGACTCCTAAAATGGGCAGAGGGAAGGGATGAAGTTTTACTGGGAGGAGCTGATGGCTTGCGTTTGCTCATCTCCTGTGCATTCCCTTGTTTTGCCTAGCAGCAAGCGCAGTTGTGTCCCTCTTTGCGAGCATATTTGGATAATTTGAGCAGAAAGCTGAGCGTACGCTTATGTTTCAGTCCTAATAATTTTATGTGAGGTTGTACGTGTGACTGTTTTCACATCTCCTAAAGATTTCAAAGGTGGTAGCAACAGGTTCCTTATTTCATCTCTACTTTCCCTATACCCTATATTCCCTATTTCCTCCCAATTTAGTCTCAAAGCGTATGATTTTTAATGAGGAACAGATGCTACCRTGGGGAAGACTTTGGAGTGTTTTGCCAGGACAACCTTTTATGGATTGCACTGCTCTATTAAGGAAGCTGCCCCCTTCCCCCTCCCCGCATCTTGTGCAAGGAGAAGCATTGGGAATCTCTCTGTGCTTTAAGGCAGGCTATTTTGTTTCCCGTCTGAGAAGCCCATCCACTCTATGTTGCTAATGCTCTCAAGACAAGTGTATTATGTAACGTGGTTAAGCCTCTGTGCTGCAGAGCCTACATGACCCCGTGCCCAGGCTGCAGCCCTCGCGGCAGCTTCGTGGAGTCCCCCGCCAATGCGCACCAAGGGCTGCCCTTGTGTGGGAGACTTAAGAAGCAGGCAGGGAGGGCTCACATGGGTGGCTGGGCTGGGATTAAAGCTTCTTTGCCTCCCTAATGCTGCTACATCTGGCGCCTCCATTTCCAGTTACGGGAGGAAACGGGAATCCTCAGGGTTGGCACCTCCTCTCCAGCCACGGGGTCCCCCGGACACGCTGCAGAGCCAGGCAACAGCTGCCACCCTCCTGCCCTCCCTTCCTCCCTCCCTCCCTCCCCCCAGGCACTCTCATCAAGCAAATCATTTCAAAGCTATGATTGAAACGGATCAAATGTGTGGGCGGTTTTGGCATCCTGGGAGAAGGGGGAGTTCCTCCCACGGGGAAATAAGCCAGCAGTGGTGTTGGCGGCTGCAGTAAAAGTACTTGCCAATAAGGTGTGTGCAGCTTCTCCAGGACTTCTACAACTGCAGGAACTTGGACTCATCTTCGGCAACAGCCCTGTAAAGTACCTAAGAACCAGCAGATACCCCCTCCATGTTTCAGCAGATACCCTCTCAGTGCCTTGGTTAAATAGCCAAGAATCTGCACGTGTCTCCTCGTCCTATAGACACTTTCCCCATCTCCTTGCAAAATAACCAGAGCCTGTATATCTCTTTTAATGCTTGCGCCTTCAGCAGGGAAAGGGTGTAAACAGTGTCCTACCTGTACTCGTACTGATGTTTTCAGTTCCTACAGTTTGTCCCATCAGGTGGTACTGATTGAGTCGTGAACCATCTTCTGCCACCACCACAGATGTTGTGGTGCTATTAGTCCACACATAGATCACTTCAGAATTGGGGTAGGCATCTGTTGACAAGGGGGGAAAAATAGATGGTGATGAGTAAAACACTGTATAATATTTTAGTGGATCTTTAAATAATAAATGATGCGGAGAGGGAAGAATGGAGAAGTGAGACTGAATGGAGAAAAACAAATAAAGATGATATAACCATATTCCCCTATGCCCAGATCAAAAAAAAAAAAAAAAAAAAAAATAGGTTGAAGCCTTCTAATGTAACAGATGTGTGGGATGGTTTGTCAAAGGCTGGCACAGTAGCGGTATAAATTTAATCCATCACAGCCAGTAGACTTGGGAAAGAGCAGCTCAGACCCATACTCATCTATCTGACTGTTTATAAATCACAGCAAGTTGCAAAAGCTGGGTTTTTTTGAGGTGCCCCCTCAAAATCACTTGTTACCTCCAGTGCCTTCGAGGACAGTTTCCGCGTCTCAGCCTCTCTCCAGGATCAAATCCATGAGCCCTGTGTCAGTGGAGTAGGTCGGGGTGTTCATGTGCAAGTTGTGCACAAAATGGGTGTGCCTGAAGGGCCAGGGCTTCAGTGTGCAAGGATAGACCGACCTTCGTGTGTGTGAATAAATGGCCTGAACTGTGTCCACTGAGCCTGCAATATGTTTTGGTGCATGCAGTGGGTAGGACTTGTATGCAGGGGAAGCGCAGCTGGAAGGTGTGTGCATGCTCCTCTACATGTGTGTGTGTTCATAATGCAGGAGAAGAAGGAAAGTAGTCAGGGTTCAGGCTAAAGGAGAACAGGAGCTGAGGGCTGTGCTTATGAGAATGAATGGGTGGTTGTTGCAACATACATGCACATTTAAAAATATAAATATGACAAGATTTCTCTCTAACTTAAGGCCTTAGGAAGTTAAAGTAGTGGCAGTACTGCCAGTTTATTCATTTTACAATAATTTTACTGCTATTTTTAAAGCCCTAACATCTGGAGTAATTATATTATTATGAAGAAATCTTAGCTTTCCTTTTCTGTCAAAGTATGTTTATTTTATTTTTTAAATACTTCTCTGCAGATAAAGTCTTTAAAAATCCAGGAGCTGACTACATATTTAAATGCCTTTTATTTAATTTAAGCAATTCTCATGGTTTTTAGAATATCCTGATTGTCAAATGTTTGCAGGAAGCAGGAATGTTACAGTAGACTGGAATCTATTGTACTAAAATGTCTGAAAGGCAGCCAAAGTTTACTTTCCAATTAAAAGGTGAAATTTAGATAGAATTGTAAGTTGTCTAAAGTAGAATACTAACCTTCCATACTTTTTAGCTTACTGCTTGGGGGTACAAATATTTTCTTTTGGAAAAACTAACATTCCAGGTCAATACAACTAGTTCAAAAGGCAATATGGTAGATTTGCAGCTAAAACTTTGAAAGGCAAGGGCAAAAAAACTACCATCTCCACCAGACTGAAAGGTTTGTTTGCCAGAGCCAGAGAAGTGTTTTGGAAAGCTACATGAAGGACTAAAGAGCATTTAATTCTTTAACAAGTGTTTCTGTGTCACTGTAATGGCAGAAAATAAGCTCAAGCATTCCATAGATCCATACAACCAGGAAGGCCAAGTCGAAAATGGGAAGTGAAACTGATGCAGCTTTAGAGCATTTGTAAAACAACATGATCACTGGTGTACATATCACTACCACTATTTTGTGTATTTTCCTGTTCTTAGTCTTCCCTTGGCATCTCTGAGAAGCATTGTAGGAGGTGGAATACGAAGCTAGTTGCACCTTTGGTCTAAGCCTCTTGTGGTTATTCTCACATTATTGTCCAGGTGTATTGTCATTTCCACATTAGAAAATATGTGGAAATAATGAGGACAGAGAGAGAGAGTTCAAAAGAGGGTCACAAGAATTTCCAGGGAGTGGGAAACAAGTCTTACAGTCTTAAGCTTAAAGAGCTCAACTTATTTAGATCACTGACAAGAAGCTGATACCCAAGTAAATCACTGAGTATAGACACTCACATATGTAAATCTAAGAACAGGATGAAAGCCATTTCACAGGCAAAAGTAAATGAAAATTAAATATCTTGAAGATGGCTTCTTCAGTATATCATGCAGTATAACTAGGCACAGTTGTATTAAAAGTCGAAAGTGTAGGAACAGTTTAGCATAAAGTAATTTTAGTATCAGGATAGGGCAGGTGCTAATAGATAGATGCTATTATTCACTGTCATACTAAACTGCGTAAAAGACTTCTTCTATTTAAGTCAAGCTCCCAGAAGGTTTTCAGTCTGTCAGGTTTGCTGAAGAACTGAAGAACTTCAGCTCATGCAAACTGCAGTTGCAAGRATATTTTACTGATGATAAACAATTCCCTCCTCTCCTGTACACGACACGCACACATGCACAGCTCAGGGAGGTAAGAAATACCTAAAAGGGTGACAGAAAAGTGTAGTAGTTGCTTTGTGTTAATACTCTGTGAGAATACTGCTGATGATGCTGTAAAAGCGAAAACACAAATTCAAAGTCACCGAAAAAACAAGTGAGATGGCTTGATGTTCATTCTAATTTAAGCAAGTAGACTTCTTTTGTTCTTTCTGAGTCTAAATAATTAATATGATGTTCTTTACAATCATACAGGAAAGGGGAAGCCCCATTAAATTATCCTTTCTCTTCTAAGACCATTCTATCAAAAAGAAGGAAAAATAGGGAGTAAGGTTGGACACATACAGTTATACATAGGTATGATGCTACTAAGTGAGAAAATGACAACAGACATCTATTTCTTGGGGATGATATGATGCTACTAAGGGAGAAAATGACAACAGACATTTATTTCTTGGGGATGATATGATGCTACTAAGGGAGAAAATGACAACAGACATTTATTTCTTGGGGTATTTGATAAATAGATACATGCTTATCATCTATAAGAATGAGGAAATAAAGTCATTTTTCCTCATATCTGTTTATTGGATTAGCATATCCAGTTTTCTTCATTCTAAACTCCAACACCACAGTGAATATTAAAACTGCAAAGATCCCCTTTGCTACTCTGCCCACCCTTCCTGCTCCTTCCCTGCTCTTTTATGTCTGGAAAGGTAAGCATGAAATGGTCTGTCTTACATAGGTGAACAGAAGATGGGAGCAATCACATCCAAAGGGAGGAARTAGAATAAGAGAAAGTCTGACGGAACAAAGCAGTCAGTTGCTAAGATCTAAAGGATCCCTGCTGTTTGCTTTGGCATTGAAGAGTGCCATGTTTTCCCTTGAATAGTTGATAGTCACGCAGGAACTGGAAAAGCAACACTGAGACAAGAGCCTGTGTTGACTTGCTGGCCTCTTTCAAAGTCTTTTTCACTTTAGTCATTCCTTGTGCTAAGGATCACAAAGGACAGTATCAGATATTCAAACTGCTCTTTGATGCTAAAAAAGTAGTAGGTTGTAGGCAGTAAGTCTTTTTAGAATCCTAGAATCATTATGGTTGGAAAAGACCTTCAAGATCGTCAAGTTCAACCATTGTTCTCATGGTATCTCTCCCATTCTCCAGGGCAATGGTGGCAGCTGCACTTTCACCATTTCTCCCCCCACTGTCCCAAACTGGAATAGACTCCAGACAAAAACCATACTGTTTCATGGCTTCCAAAGTAAAACAAAGCCAAATATGGGTAGCTGGGTCCAAACTTCAAGTCCATATGACCCAGAGGTATTTCCAGGACTGACTTTTTGAACTCATAAGAAATAAAAACCATATTGATGTCTGGCCAGTAAGCTTTCCTTGTGACAGGGCAGCAAACAGTTTGGGGGAAAAAGGGAACCTGCAAAAAGACCACTCAAAAGCTTTCCTAAACCTCACAGGATGCCATAGGTTCTTTGGCTTATTTAATGTCATGCCTATATAATCATATAATACCAACTTGTGAAATGTAGGATGTGTTTATGAATCCATATCCATGTTTGAGTTTTCATTYCATAATCAAACTAGCACACAAAATTCACAAACCATGACCAAAATTTTTCTTTCAGAAATGCACTAGTTGGAGATTGAATTAACTTAAAGAGATACTGAGGAAAGATCATTTTTGGATTGTTCTTAAGTTTACTTATTACAACTGGGTAGCTAAACTCCTAGACTCCATTGTCATGTTTAGTACGTGTCAGAATCATTCCACTGTCTAACCTTGAAGTGGTGCTAATCCCTATCAAAGTCTCCTGATTGTCAATGTGCACAAAYTATCAGTGTACATCTAATTTTAATCTAAATATGCATGCAAATATCTAACTATCTATCTATCTAACTATCTATTTGATRCACTTAAAAGACGCTACTAAGTACTGAATAGATATCCAGATTTACAATCTCACAAAGACTTCTGCAGGCAATAAAACAGCACTGCTACTATGCCATAAGATATGGGCCTGAATTCTAAGAGTCAGGCTGAGTTTCTTCTGATTTGTGCATGAATACTTTTTACCTCATTACAAAGCATCAGTCAATCATTGTGTCTAGGCAACTGAGGCTAGATTGGAGCTCTGTAATTGAAATTTCCCATTAAATTCTATTGATAAGAAAGAATCGGTGTAGAAAAGAGATCGTTCTATAAGAAGAACAGGTGGAAAATAGATTAAGAACATAAAATTTTAAGTATAAAAATATGCATTCACTGTGTCTTGGGGAAAGCTTTTTTTATAATAATAAAGTAAAAGTAAAATTGAAAAAAAAAGCAAAATTGAAATTTAAATAGAATAATGTAATCACATATTCAGTGATTAAAAGCCTAAAATGAGGACTTTGAAAAAGTATGATGACAAATTTGCTGTTCATTGGAAATTTGAAGCTCATGAAAATCGCTTTAGAGTCCTGAAATCACCATAGTTAACATGATGATTTATTTATATTTCACTTATAATTGATTTATTTATATTTCACTTATAATTAAATGATAATTTAAACTGGCATAAAATTACATCAGTTGAATAAATAGCATGCATGACTTCAAATCTGTGATATAGACAAAAAAAAATGTGTAAATACAAGGGATTATATATTAGAAAACCCCAA